ACGTCGTTGCCAAGCGACGAAAACCCAACCCCGATGGCATACACCGGGGTGGGGGTCTTAAGGGCGGAAGAGGAGTAATTTTGATGTTGACGAATTTTGAAAACAAACGGAAGAGCACCAGAAATTTACATCAGACTAACAAGACCAGTCGGGNACCGGGGTGGGGGTCTTAAGGGCGGAAGAGGAGTAATTTTGATGTTGACGAATTTTGAAAACAAACGGAAGAGCACCAGAAATTTACATCAGACTAACAAGACCAGTCGGGAGGCATCGCGAAAAACAGAAATCGTTGATTCTCGCACAGGGCGGCAGTAGAGGCTGCTCAAAACATACATTTCACGTGTCTACCCACAGGCCTCCTTTGAAATCAAGACGAAAATTCACATCATTCTAAATTCAAGTCAAAAGAGCCAAAACGGAAGGTGCTCAAATAAGATCAGTGTTGAGGGTTAGGTTAGGGATTCTATTGTCAGCAGTAGAGTACATCATGAAGAGGGGTCGTGCGTGCTGGAACGTTCAGGTTTGCTACTGTGTGGAATCCAGGATATAGGTATCTTCCCAGTAGTATGGACGCACATACAACCGTATAGATCCGGTGACCCCAGGAACGACGTTCTCGTGGTGTGAAGATCTTTACAACAAGAAGACCCTCCGTCTGCTGTGACCAGCCGGAGGGTGGAAGCGAGCCCAAAAGCTCACTCTCACCTTTCACCCTAGCAAGGCTGACTAACGTCAGCCACGCTTGGCCATTCCTTGCCACATTGCAATAAGAGCGAAATTACCTCCGTCGGTGAACGGTTATTCACCACTTCAGGGACCTTCACTCATAACGGAGTAAGGGTATTCTCAACTGGATGGAGCTGAAAAATCGAAGGTCGCAACAGCCTTTGAAAACAGTCCGAAATCTGCGCCGGAACCAAGCGGCATCCAACATTTGTCACAGCCATGCTCGCCGCCACCGACCCCAATCTCCTGAACTACGGGCTTACAGCAGTAGTTGATGCCACTAGCTACTGCTGGCACCCGTCCGTTCAGGGGCTCACGGCCCTGGCGGTGAGGATGGCTGTGAAAAATGTTGGATGCCGCTTGGTTCCGGCGCAGATTTCGGACGGGTTTCAGAGGCTGCTGCGACCTTCAATATTTCTGCTCCAGTAACAAACCTGAACGTGCCAGCACGCATGACGCCTCTTCATGGTGTCTTCAACTGATGATAAAAGAATGCCTCATGTAACCCTGGCGGGAAGGTTGTCTTCTTTCTTTGCATATGATTAAAGTATGGGAAAAGAGCCAGAGTCCAAACCACCCCTGTTCCCCCCGCTTAAATCTGTTCAAGGCGAGACTGAGCACCACGGCTTTCAACAGCAACATCACGGCCAAGGTTAATGTCGATACATTACACACCTGCTAGGCGTGTGGCCATCGCACTTGTTTTTCTTTCGCCCACATACACTGCTATACAATTGGGTGTGGAAAAACGAGTATACGCCAAGTAGATGGAGGGACGGAGTGGTTGTGAACTTGTTTAAGGAAGGAGACAAGACTCACCCAGGAAACTACAGGGGGATCACACTGTTGAACACTCTGTAGGAAAAGTGCTCTGTAAACTGCTGAACGATAGGATAGTGGGAGTATTGGAGAAGGAACATAGC